GGGAGTTCGAAGCCGTTCGCCTTCCTTTCCCTTAATAAACTGGACTGAAATGAAACGAAACAGACAAGTATCCTGGACTGGATGCGATTTCTGGGCTGATTCTTAAGGAACTATCAACGGATCTGGAAAAGCCTCTTTCAACTCCCTTTGAAGTGTCATTCAGAACAACGGGGTGCCTTTGCAGTGGAAGACAGCCAATCTCGTTCCCTTACATTAGGGAGGCAGCATGATGGTAGCGTGCATCTTCAGGTCCATTAGCTTGACTTTATCTCGTGCAAAACCGCGAAAGTTCAGGCAAAGAGTGCTAAACAACAATTTTTTGAAGGAAACAACATATAATAGCATCTTCAGCACGGCTTCCGGAGAGGACGTTCCGATCTCTAATATCTGCCAATTTTTTTGAATGTCTGGACGAGGGTTTTAGAAGAGGGTTTTGAGGTCGATGTCGCGTACATCGATTTCCGCAAAGTATTTAATACTGTCCCGCGCCAACGCCTTCTTCAGAAATTTGAGCGCTGTCGGCATCCGAGAGATCTTCTGGACCGGATAAGAGCGCTTCTGTTTGGTCGAAAACAGCATGTCTGCATCGATACAATATGTCAGACTGGGTAAACGTGAGGTAGGACAAATGTGTGTAGCCTGGATGCTGCAACCGATAGGAAGGTCCCTGTAATACGGGATCGGTGGGAAAGGGGGGTTTTAAGGGTGGGGCAAACGGAAAAGCCATGGGCAAGTTAAAAAAAAAATAAAAATAAAAATAGGTGTAGACAGTTAATAAGTAAAATATTTTGAGGTGAAATAGGTGGCGGAAATTTAAAAAGTAAACCTTAACCAATAGGAACGAGATACCCAAAAGCCCAAGGCCATTCCGCTGTAGGTACCCCAGACAGTACTGGCACTGAAGGTGAATCCTCGGGAAATGCCGTCGACAAGCAGGGAGGTAGAAGAGGAACCCGAACAACGGTAAGTATGAATGAAAAATACGCAGGAGGTAGAAGAATGAAGCTGTAATTGATAATATGTTCAATAATTACCAAACGATTCCCACTTATAGAACGCTGATAGCAAAGAAGAAGCGCAAGGCCGTTCCGCAAGCTAATAATCAATCAGAGATTGGACAGATCCTTGATATTATCCAATCCCCGTATTTAGTGCAATATTTGCAAGCGAAAGGACTCCTTGCGACGCACGTTAAGTGTCGCTGTCGTAAACCAATGACATTGCGGATATTGCGGCAGCACATTGACGGATTTGCGTTCAGGTAAACCAAAATAATAATATAATGCATGGGCTAGGTGAAACAAATGTGGCACCAAAAAGGCATTGAGAACGGGTTCCCTGTTTAAGGATAGCCGCCTGGCGGCCCGTGGAAAAGTAGGCAGTCCAAACAACTGAACGGCCAGACAGTGTACATATTGGCCAGTGAGAACGGATGCTGCGGGAAAAGTTTGTAAATCTTTTATACTGTGCCTAATAATAGTGAATTCCTAACTATAACTCTCAACTTTTGGTCCCATTTAATCCCATAACCTAAGCCAAAAATGCCCAAACGGATATTGAATGCGTTATGTTTGATGGTAGTGATGGAAGCCTATGTGAAGACAGCCTTCCTGTCTTGACCAATCCGAACGCTACGTCGCAAGTACGCTAATCGTCAAACCGGAAAAAAAGGAGCGGAAAGCGCATAGAGCAAACTTACCTCTCCCCCCAAGGCGACCAAACCGCCCAGGCGAACGGAAGCGGCCGTAGCGCAAGAAGAAAGCGACCGAAGGAGACCACACAGAAATCCGGACGCCCGGGCGTACACCTGAATCCGTGATAGTGCAAGGCAAGGCTAAACCCCTATTGTAGGGTAGGCGTTCCTGACCCGGCTTTGGTGGCAGTTAAGGGAGGAGAAATGAACCAAATCGAAAGCAAACTAAGCAAACGGCAAGCGGCCTTAGAAGACCGCACACGAAGTCAGCGGCCGCGTTTAACGTCTGAACGGCTAAGCCACGAAGGGCAAACCTGCATCGATTAAGCGCACCCAACACCTACGCGCCTTACAAACTCGCCCGGTTAACGCATGGAACGCGATGTGGAGCACCACCTCTATCGGTCAGACACAACGCGGCTGGTTCGTAAAGGCGATAGGTGTTAGGGGGAGTGGGGGTAGCAGCCTGTTACTACCAATGAAGGAACTCACACATTAAAGGCATATTCTAAAGCGTGTTGAATCGTTATCCGCAAAGGTTAAGTATTTCGCCTTTTACTGAAGATTTCCGTGTGGGAGGGGGGTGCAATGCAATGAGCCTATATAGACAGTATTACAGCGTCTCGTTCTCGGGGCGGTTAAGGGGAAGGAGAAAGGCATCCTGACGGAGCCTGTACGCCAAGTATACCAAGTATAGTTGGAGCAAGAGCACGAAGGACTTTACAGCATAACCGCCCTTCCTTCACGCAATCGGCAGTTGTAAGTATATAACCTAATAAAAGCACGCCTACTGTTACCACCAATGAAGCAACTTACAGGTTAAAGGCATATTGTAAAGCGTGTTGAATCGTTATCCGCAAAGGTTAAGTATTTCGCCTTTTACCGAAGATTTCCGTGTAGGAGGGGGTGCAATGCAATGAGCCTATATAGACAGTATTACAGCGTCTCGTTCTCGGGGCGGTTAACGGGAAGGAGAAAGGCATCCTGACGGAGCCTGTACGCCAAGTAAACCAAGTATAGTTGGAGCAAGAGCACGAAGGACTTTACAACATAAGCGCCCCTCCTTAACCCAATCGGCAGTTGTAAGTATGTAACCTAATAAAAGCACGCCTACTGAAAGGATACAAGTACGTCAGCAATATTGACTCATAATCCCAGGCTACCCACATTTGTGCTACCAAACGTGAATTGTGGAGGGCCTCAAGGCTCAGTTCTCGATCTCCTACTTTCAATTCTTTATGTTAATGACAGCCTTCAAGAACTCGATTGTGGTAAAATAATGCTCGCCGACGAAGTTGAGCCCTGGGAAGTCAGTAAAGAGCCGAATTATCCGAAATCCCTTCAAGATAATCTGCACCGATTGCAGACGTGGTCCGAGAAATAGCTTCTGAATTTCAATGTGCAGGAGTTCGCCGTCCTTCATCTGCATCCAATTAACTGTCATTCAAATGATAGCACGAGGGCATATGCACTGAAGGACATTACTCTTCCTACAGAATCTTTATAGAAGCATCTCGGTATATGGTTACAGTGCAACATGAAACCCACGCTGCAGTGCATAAACAATAGTCCAAATCTTCCTTGGATTTGAGCCCCTACCACGGTTAGTCACTCATACAGTCCTCGGAATTGTTCTTTAATAATACGTCCTCCGCCACCTTCCCCTTCAAGCTCTCTCTCTCTCATCTTCGCTTTCATGTGCACCTTTCTTTGAAATAACTTTTCCATCCATGTAAGATATTCAACTAATTTGCTTATATTTAAGAGGAGGCTGCATCCTTATCTGAATACTGACTCTATCCAACTCTAGTTTCCTCACCCTCCCAGGGAAATTTCACCACGACTTTCACAAAGGAACATCAGGAATTTAGGGAGCCACCACCAAATTACCGCGTCCGTTCACATTTCACTCTCAGCCCATTGTTTCGCTTCCCGCGATTTCTCATCAGGAATCTTGATCCTTTTAGTTATTCAGTGATGCACGATGACCTGCACAGAACGCGATGTCCTCTCTAACCGGAGAAGTAATAGGAGTCATGCTGCCGCACACCATCAGAGAGGTCTCCGTTGCTCTCACCGTCAATCCTCATCAGGATTCTGCACCGGGCTCTAGGAGGCTGAGCTATTATTCCCATTGTCAGTCCTGCCCTGGGTCTGCCACTACTTAACACCCCTAGGCTTCCATCCTACATTCATGAAGATTCTTCGCTGCACCATATCCGCTCGGAAAGTAGTTCTTTTTCTCTTAATTTTTTTTGAAAGTAAAGGTCCCTTCGGGTGCTTTTTCAGAACCTCGTTTGTGGCTCAACATTATTTTCTAAAAATTTCTAATTTGGAAGCTGGGGATATTATCATCAAAAGCGTCGTATGCAGACGGCCAAGTAGCCGGCGGACTTAAAGACTTTGTCAATTTTATGTAATACAATCTCCAAATGTTACTATACAGATGGCAGCCTACGCAGACCATGACTGTCTACATTGCTTTTATTCTACCTACTGGGTTAATTGTAACATACTTTGATTGTGCCCCCTGCGAGCTTGAAAATAAATCTCTCACCGGTATTATTATTATTAATTATGTCGGTTCAGTTACCTGCACAAATAAGTAAAGTGTTTTATTGAGTACCCGCGGGGGTACTTTCAATTATCGCTGTCCGTCAATTTTTCGTTGTCTATTTCGTCGTTCCCTCACTACGATTCCGCCTCCTACTTAGTTCATCTATACACTTTTCGACGTTTGTTTGAGTCTGTCTCCTTCAGCGGCCTGTCTAGTTTTCAGGAGGCCTGACCCACACAAATCCCGTCTACCATCATTCCCGTATTGGAGGGGACCATGTTTCCGTAAAATTTTGGGCAGCCACACTAAGCAGTCTTACCAAAATTAATTCCGGAATCTCGCCGTAATTTAACATGGTCACAAATATTTACAGGCAAGATTGGCAGAAGCGTCAGTCACCCATAAATCGGTCAAAAAACGTGGGAATACCACATGAGGAATCGGTAGACTCGATGCATTGCCGTTAAAGTAGGACTGCAGTCTTCGAAGGTAGCTCAGTGACAGAGACCAAGGCGCAGCTAAAAACCCGCAAAATGAGACTGCCACAACCCAGTGTCGCAATTTCGCTATTCAAGTTAAAATGTCTACTCTTATTTTTTGACATTCGGGGAACGTTTGTACTCGTCACGTTCCCCCAGAGTCACCAAAATGTCATCATCATCATCATCATCATCATCATCATCATCATCATCATCATCATCATCATCATCATCATCATCATCATCATCATCATCATCATCATCAAGGCAGATGCATCTGCTTTGCTCGCCACATATTTTAGTCCCACCATTCTTCTTCCTGCAGGGTAAGTAGTTGTGCTTCGCCCGACTTGTTAGTCTGCTCCCTACCTTGCAAATATAGCCTTCCAACCAGCGATCTCTAAGATGGTTTTGGAGTTCTGCCTTATAAAACTCGTGTGAAAACACTTCATAGAAGTAAGGAGATAAAGAGTGAACAGGGTTGAACTCATACCGAAAAACTCTGGATGTGCTATATGTAGTTTCTTATCTTCAGTCAACATATGAGCGCTCTTGCGTTTGTCTAATCTGTTAAATTACCGCAAACTAAGTAATTGGCACATTCCCGTGTGCTTCGGGATTACGCGCGGTAGTGGAAGCAAAGGTTAGATTTTCAGTATTTCAAGGGGGATTTCCGTGCGTTAAATTAGTATTGACTGTTTCACTTGTTTTTAGGTTTAATGCATTTTTTTGACCTTATGTCGTCATAGTGTCATAATAATTCATATATACCAACTGGCATAACAAATATTATATGTCAGTTATTATTAATAATTAATGCCAAACGATGCGGTAAACTCAATGCGGCTCGAACTGCAATAAATGTGCTGTATTTTACTCATACGAGAGCTTTTCCCATGACATCAGAACAAACTGGAGTTGGGGGTGTCAATAGACCCGTTGCACCTCCCCATCGTCCTCGGGCCTCAGTCTTCACAGCATCTCTCTTTTGACGACGCACTGTCGCAAGCCGTCTTCGTAACGTGGGCGCTCAACCGAAAATCTGGACAAATACCGCACCTATACACCCTTTGGGCTGACACCCTAACTTGTTTTGCCTTTGCCGGATCGATTTGTGCACGGACGGTGTTCTTGATTAGGATTATACAGGCTCAAGGAAGGCGGGCGAGGCAGTTGTGCGGAATAGTGTCCGGTGATAATTTGTGTCTTGGGGGATTTCGGTAGAAATTTCCGTTGGAGTTGCGATGGATGCCAACTGGCTTTTACGAATTTCGTTATAAATGTCTTGTATCCTGGCAGATTAATTGGCAGTTCACAATTCTGAGATCATTCGGAACACGACGGCCCTAAAACTCTGGGCGAATTTTGTCTTTTCCGCGGCTACTATTCGGGTTCTCCATTACAAATCATATATCGGTTTGGGATGTGGCTGGCTAGTGAGGGCGAACACTTGGCCAATTTACTTGGTTATCTGTGTTTCCTGAGGCGATATCGCTACTCCATTGTCTTCGTTAAGTTCCAATCCGTCGTCGCGTTATTACCCCATTTTTAATCAAATGCACAATTGCTTGTCACTTACGTATGCCCTTTATTTTCACTGAAAACCAGAATAATGAATTTTGGCATTTTTTTATGAAGGCCTTATTGACCGACAGGCATTCTGGTCTAGCGAGTTTCTTCAAACTTTCCTTGCACCTGTCTTTTTGTCAGTGAGTAGTGATAAAAGCTTGGCTTGACCTAAGTTTAATGTCTTCACGATCTAGTGTAACCTATACCCTCAAATCGATAGTTGACACCAGCGTGAGTTTCCTGAAGGTCCTATTTCTGAACCCCGATGACAGGTAGGTCTGATTTACATCTGTCCACTTCGTCGGTCAGTCAGCCATCTTGACGATAATTCCAAATCAGAGTGGTTCAGAGAGTTGACGTCGCGAATGAGTTGACTGAGTGGATAGCCGAAATGTTGGAGCCAGTGGCCTTTTACGCACCACCACCAGATGTTCCCTGTCTACATTAGATATTTGGTTTGTTGACGAGGCCGTACCATTCTTTGGAGGCGTCGGGATCTTCCCTAGGCTATCAGAGCGTGGAGGCCACGTTTTGCAACTGTAGAACAGGGAGCCGTAACCGTAGTCACATACGTCGACTCCTGTTTTCGCGGCGGGGCCACAGACACCTTAAGAGATGACAGAATAAGCGAAGTACAAACTGCGTGTGGTGTAATACCTTATGCAGACCGACCAGTAAGTAGCATGCATGTGCTGGGATAAACAGAATACTCAATCGTCCTGTCTTTCACTGTCCAGGAGGGTTCGAGCCTCATATTTTATAGTGACTAAGGAGAACCTTGTATTTCCAGGCGTTTGAATTTAACCGAAGTAACCGGTGTGTCTTCCTGAAGAGGTCCCCAAATAAAGCGATGCCATTAAAATAGCCAGGGTCGAAGTATCATACTTGAATTCGCCTGTACTTGTGGAGGTACCACTGATAGCCGAATTTATAGCATAGAATATCAGTTATGGGATGCCGACGTTTACGTAAAGTACTCGCTCCGTGCCATGCTTTCAAGTTTGGATTCGCTTGAGTTACTAGTATGCCTTGATAAAGTTCATGCGTCTTGAACATTTTCCATGGTCTCTGCGACGTCACCTCTAATGTGAGTTGAGCGTGCCAGCAAAGTCAACGGAACAGAAAACCGTCTTCTATTTGAAAAAAGTGCATTTGTTCTGAAATTCCTTGCAGGGCGGATCTGGCCGACGCAGTTTCTACTAGGGTGGGTAGCGCTTTGATTTTCTCTTGTTCTTACGCCCCTCCCTGGTGGGGCAAAACTGTTTCGGAAGGATGCCTAAAATCTTCACGGAGACGTCGATTACGCTTACATCTTCGTAGTTGAGCATTCATCAGCAATAATTGTCCTATAGACCATGAGTCCCACCGTCCACTTTGGCTGGACCCATATCTCCGATCACGAAACCCAATAGAATCATTTTCACCGTTACACTTATTTGGGACCGATATACCGTATTTCTTCAAAGGGACTCATCGATCTCGCAACATCACCAGTGTAGTCTGTATTCGTCACACACAGATCACGGCCTACTGTGGCCCCTTATGTGGCCCGGTAGCGTGTAGAGAAAGTTGGCGAGTGAACACAACCCCACCCGCCACTCATGAAATTTGGTTCTTGTTTTGTGGTGACAGGCTTGAATCACTCGTAATTGTTTCGGTGTCATGCAACATGTTCGATCACAGGGGATTCCAACAGACCCAATTAAATTAAAGAGGAAATTCACTAAACAGACGAGTTTACTGCTGTTAAAAATGGTGGTTTTCAGAGGTCCAACGAAAAGAGAAGTCCTGATCGATGCATTCCTTCTTCTATTCACATCAAGGTCCAGGTGGGTGCAGCCGCAGTTCTTTCACCGTTCCCTCACTATTCGGTGATCGCCCTAACGGGGGCATTATCCCAGCTTGTGTCCCACGCCTGGTTGCCTGTTCGTGACCTTTGCCACCCATACGGAGCTTGTTTGCTTCGTGAAGCCAATAGATCGGTGTGCGCCCATTCCTGATTGGGCGTTTGACCCTCATTGTTGTGGTTAGGATCTCACTCGATCCCATTCTGTCCGCCCGCCAGCTAGCTACTGTCGACAACGAACGCTGTCATAGGACACCTACCAAGCGAGCTGCCTATGTGTTATATGTGGTGTGTGTCCTATAACACAGCATTCGTTGTCGACAGTAGTTAGCTGGCGAGCGGACAGAATGGGATCGAGTGAGATCCTAACCACAACAATGAGGGTCAAACGCCTACTTGACACGCTTATATACTTCACTTCATAAGGCCTATGACGTACTGATGATCGCTAACGTCCGTGAAACAGCTGTCTGCGTCTGGCCTGTTGCACTCTTAGCGAGCTGCCTATGTATATATAGCGAATATTCACTGTATTTTTCCCTACCTCGTTCCAGGTCATGAATGGTAAGGCACCCAACGTCAACTCCGAGGACGGACTGGTTGAACCTCCGTTCTCGGAAGTTGCGGAGATCTTAAGGACTTTCTCCAAGAATATCATTCTACTTCCCCAGACGGACGAACTTCGGGAAATGCAGACCGTGCTGCGTGATAAGTTCGTTTTTCTCACACTGAAACTATATCTACAACTTTCCTTTCATTAGGAGGACTACACGAAACGACTTCGTCTTTTATGCTAATCGCCTGGTAAGTTGGTCCTGTTGCCTAATTGTTTTCCGCAATCAGATCCGTTTAGTTATGGAGGAAGGTCTAAATCAGCTCCCCTTCGAGGAGGTTACTGTGATCACTCCGACGGGCGAGTTATACTATTACTTCTTTTATTTAGACACTCAGTTTGCAGAGTTTTTTGTATGGATTCGCAACTTGGGAGTCTTGTTTCGGACCCGTAAAATTTCCCCGTCAGGTGTAAACGCCATTGCCTTAAAATAGTCGACTGAGGTTCGCCTGAGGTTTTAGCTAATACGCATGTTGAGAATGTTGTGGAGCCGTTTCTGCAAATTTTACTACTGCCATCTGATCCGATAGTTCGACCGTCGTTTCAGACGATGTCCACAATGTGCTCCACAGCAAGGTGAAACAGATACGGTGACTTGTGCGTGATTTATAGTGAATGCAAGCCTCCGCAACATCTACCGCACTCTCTTCCCCACTCCCCACCTGGACCCGTTGTCAAGGCATAGTCAAGAGGACCGGAGGCGGGACGGAGGGCACAGGTGACTGGCACGTCCGGACCCGCACCCAGACGTGCCACTACACCTGGTGCATAAGGTACACTGACCAGGGTTTTACACAACAACAACACCCCAGAATGACGAGGACGACTGGGCAGTCATGCCCACCACCTGTATACCCAGCGGGAGCGCAAGCGCATCTGCCAGCAGGGAACCAGATGCCAGCGCATACCAAGCTGCGAGGACCATGGTTTGCTGATACCGGCATTGTACACGTTTTCAGACCTTTTGACCACACCGTACCACTAATGCGCACAGCATTCAACGGCCTGCATGTATCACAAACAGGTCTTCACGAGATGGGAAGGTGTTCTGCAACTTATATAACTCAGCCCTTACAAAGTATCTCGCGTTGTTGGAGTGGGAAGTGTCGACTTCAGTCAAACTGCGGGTTATTGTCTTATAAATATACCACGTATTTTATGTCCGCAGACCTGAGGTAGGCCAAAGAATGTCGTTCCAGTTTTCCTTTCCGCTGAGAATACAATAAAGAACTCGTCTGCAGCGAATTACAGCAATTCTAACACCACCTGGACCCGGTGTCGAGACAGAGTCAAGAAGACCGGGGGCGAGGGAGGAAGCAGGTGGATGGCATGGTCAAACCCGCACCTTGCTGTTCTACTCCACACCCCCTGGCTCACAGCAAGTGATAAAGCTCTTAACCAGCAACAAAAAGGTGGGCCGGCGCGGCCGAAGCCGCATCTAGGCGTGCCGTCACACCCTGCTCGGACCGCACGGAGTGGGGATGCTATAAACGCCACATTGACATGGAGCCATTGCTGCCTGACTCTTATACCACCAATCGGCCGCTCCACACAAACACACAACACTGGGCCGACTGCGAGGTCCAAGTGTTTTGTATGACATTAATTGGCAGTAAATTAAAATTAAAATTCTGAAAACGGACTGTCGACCAATCAATAGTCTGAAGGTCGTCAGTGTAGGCTGTTGGTTATCTTTAGTGATAAAGTGCAATAGCAGGGGAGATGGGGAGTGGAAGTAAAGTTTATTCGTCGCGCGTCGTTTGGGGTGAAGACTTTCCTGGTGATCAGTTTCTCCTTATGCGCGTCCTCTGGCTCCACCAAGCATTCCATGTTGTTACCATATTAGGCTACTCAGAAGAACTGAGTTCGATATCCGTCTTCTGGCACTTACAGGATGTAACTTTTGCCTAATCGAGTTCGTTCAGTACAGCTGCTGGACAGTCAACGCTGGGACACTTGGCCGTCGAGTTTATATCTCATCGGCCGGCCCCTCGTCTTGTAGCTCGCCAGCCGTCTAGCACCTATCTCCCGCCTTTTCCGTTATTCCCGGGGTACAGCTGTTGTGAGATGGATCGCCAAATGTCCTTTTTCTTTGTAAGTTACATTTGTTATTCGCCTTATCCTCAAACTTGCCACTCCCCCCCCCTCTACCAGGCCACAAGTACAACGGATTAAAGTTCCTAAAGGGCAACTGCGGCGTCTCCGTTGTACGCAGCGGCGAGGCCATGGAGCGAGGACTGCGGGACTGCTGCCGTGCAATGCGCATCGGCAAGATCCTCGTCCACACTCCCGAGGAGTGTCCGCCCTCGGAAGCGCAGGTTGTCTACGCCAAACTGCCGCCGGATGTGCATCAGCGCAAGGTCTTTCTCATGTATCCCATCCTCCGTAAGTGTAGCTCCCTTCTTGGATGTGCATAGTTATTCCGCCTGGGGCTGCAGCCGGGGCCGCGTGACGCTGCTTTGTGCTTCAGTGCGCGCAAATGAAGTGGTCCCAATTTAACTCCATTACAGAAGCCTGGTAAATGTAACAGGCGGTGTGTGGCACACGTAGATAGGTCGTTCAACCTCCGGTTTTCTAGACGTTGTCTCGCTATTGCTATACATATATATGCATATATATATATATATATATATATATATACATATATACAGGCAGAATAGCATTACCGACAAAGACAAGGGAGACTGGAATGGCCATTTCTGGCTTATTAGCCGTCGTCAGCCAGCCATACCCAAGCCCGAAGTGTGGAACACCCGAGCCTCGAACTCGCGACCTGTTGGTTTAGAAGTCAACGCCTCTACTCGGGTGTTCCACACTTCGGGCTTGGGTATGGCTGGCTGACGACGGCTAATAAGCCAGAAATGGCCATTCCAGTCTCCCTTGTCTTTGTCGGTAATGCTATTCTGCCTGTATATCATGCGCCGCTGTGCGGCTGCTGGTTGGGCTCGAGAGAGAGTCCATAAGGCACAACGGAACGAGTGAGTTCCGTATGAACGATCGGTGAGCGCCCCCCTACCATATACATATATATATATAGTGTAGCTCCCTTCTTGGATGTATATGCGTATCTACCTCAGGCCTGTAACCGGCACCGCGTGGCGCTGTTTTGTGCTTCAGTGCGTGCGGGTGCAGTAGTTCCTGGTACATGTAACAGGAAGCAGGTTGTGTGTGGCACGCGTAGACGGGCCGTTTTACTCTGCCAGCTGTCGCGCCAGCGTCGACCCCCGGTTGTCCAGACGTTGTCTTACTATCAGGGCAGGGTGGGCGGGGAAGATAGAGTGCGATAGATGCTGCGCAAGCGTGCCCCACGGTGGATATAGTCACTTGTGACGGTCGGACCACCCTTCCTCCTTTCGGGAAATATAAAAATTCCGCTTGTACACTTCTATTTTAGGCTTCACGCGACTCTCCTATCCTCCGTAAGTGTAGCTCCCTCTATGGATGTACATGCGTATCTACCTCAGGCCTGTAACCGGCACCGCGTGGCGCTGTTTTATGCTTCAGTGCGTGCGGGTGCAGTAGCCCCTTGTAACAGGAAGCAGGTTGTGTGTGGCACGCGTAGACGGGCCGTTTTACTCTGCCAGCTGTCGCGCCAGCGTCGACCCCCGGTTGTCCAGACGTTGTCTTACTATCAGGGCAGGGTGGGCGGGGAAGATAGAGTGCGATAGATGCTGCGCAATCGTGCTCCACGGTGGATATAGCCACTTGCGACGGTCGGACCACCCTTCCTCCTTTCGGTAAATATAAAAATTCCGCTTGTACACTTTTGTTTTAAGCTTCACGCGACTCCCCCATCCTCCGTAAGTGTAGCCCCCCACTTCGGATGTGCATTGTTATTCCTCATGGGGCTGCAGCCGGGGCCGCCCCACGCCGCTTTGTACTTCAGTGCGTGAGAATGAAGTAGTCCCAATTTAAATCCATTAGAGAAGCCTGGTACATGTAAGAGGAAGCAGGCGGTGTATAGCACGCGTAGATGTGTCGTCCAACCAAAGTTGACCTCCGGTTTTCAGGACGTTGCCTCGCTATAAGGTAAAGTGCGATAGATGCTGCGCAGGCGTGCCCCACCGGTGCCGCGTCCACTCCGAGTTATACTCTTTCTTCGAGCATAAAATTGGAAGAAGACGTGATTTTTTATCGAATAGGTGAAAGAATGAATATTTTGTGCATGCTTTCCATGAAATATAATTGAACTTTTAAGGGCATCCAAAATCAACGGAGGAATTGCTTGCTACTTAAGTAGTCATTTTTTACAGAGTGTAGTTTTTGCATGCGGTCGCAAATAAGTTCGTTCGAAAGAAGGCACCCTGAGGTAACTGGATCATTATAGAATTATGCTGGACGATGTTTATTTTTACAACCATAATTAATCTTTTCGAAACGAGAACGCATTTCAAAATTTCGGCCGACATTTCATGAGTTAACCCACCAATTGTATGTCTATACTGAGTAGAGTCGATAGAAGAGTATCGGAACACCATAAGGCGTAAAACAGACTTAAGATCCTGTTTTGTGCGTATCAGGATTGTGCGACCTTTTAAGTAGAATATTCTGTTTAAAACACCTGCTGATCTCCATCAGTACTTCATAGGTACGCCGCTGCACCCCTCTTCCGCCAAACAGTTTATAGGCCTTCACGGGATATCGCCAACCGTTCGAAAAATTGGGCGAAAGAGACCATCCCTCACTTGTTGACGGTGTTATTGATTTCTCCAAATTCCCAACTACTCTCGGAATGAGAGTATTCAGGGATTTAGAGTTAAGTACATCCTTCGTGGCGCCCGCTCCCGACCTCTAGTCAACGTGCTATTAGCTGTCTTCCTGCAAAAATAGTCAAATTTCTTTTTATTGTGCGACTTACAAACACGCCTAATAGAGGCCGCCTCGTCCGTCTGCGGCCTGACTGTGTCCTTTAAGTAGCTTTCGTGTGTCCGGCCACTTTTTCCGCTGTTTGTCTTTGATTTGAGCGTCTACCAAACTGCGCAGAACACTTTTACAACCGCCTGACGTCGTACATTTTGGAACATATGTACCTGTACCTTGATCCGCTGTCCACATTGCCATTCTTAGTACAGTTGGCCCTTGGCAAGATCAGCTAAACAGTGCGGACCATAATTCAAGCAGTCGAAAGGTCTGATGCTCATTAGGCAGTGGTTGCTTGGAACAGCTTGATGCAGCAGTTGGTTTGCGATAGGTCCTGCGTTCGAAAGTCTGCATTTCCATTCACTTCCCCTCCCCCTATACACCAGTTCAAGGTTCCTGCTCGTGCTTTATAGCGGCCGGTGAGGTCTTGTAGCCTCCCTCTGGCAGGACACGATAATAGGAAACCCGCGTATGTGACCTTGCGCTATACTCCAGGGGAATCAGGCTTGTAGTCAAGGGCGAGAATTAGGGTCAGGGGTGGGGTTTAGGGTATTGTTGGGGTCCAGATAAGGGTTGTGTCAAAGGATTGGATTAGGGCTAGAGTTAGGGGTTGGATACGCAAATAGGAACGGTAAGGATAGGTTGTGTAACCCCACTAGGTATGCCGTGGCACAGTGACTGCATCCTATAAATACTGCAACCACCCGTATCTGCTTTTGTCTCTGAAGATGGGTGCGAGCAGGAATCGGAAACGTCAGGCCAATAAAGCTCTTGTCCCAACGATCGCGTCTCCTTCTTCAAGTTCTACTACCGTCGTTCCCGACGATGTCCACCGTGTGCTCCGCAGCAGGATGGGAGGCTTGCGTGTGAATTCGTTTAGTGGTAGCGGGCTTGCGCAGCGTCTACCACACTCTTCCCTCCCCCCCCTCACCTGGGTCGGATGTCAAGACTGAGTCAAGACGACCGGAGGCGGGGGAGGGCGCAGGTGGCTGGCATGGCGAAACCCACACCTAGGCGTGCTATCACACCTCCGGGTCCGTTACCTACGACTGGCCAGGATTTCACACCACAAGAAAAAAGGGAGCTACTCGGGTGGCTCGTATCCCATAAGGGCCAGATTAAGAAGGAGTTAGTTCAGCCTCTTCCTCCGAGTGATGTTCTTATTTGGCAGCCTTCCAAGCCACGGCTTTTAGCGCGCCGTGATAGTCTCAAGCGCGTCGGGTTGTTTATAGTGTGACGTATGCGCTAAAACCGTCGACCTCATTCTCTCTTCCAGGCACCAGTCAACTGTCTGAACTGGTCAGCCAACTGGTGCTGATATTGGGAGCGGTGATCGATGGCGACGAGACGTCGGTGCTGAGTTAGGTCTTCGTCGTGGACCCCGTGGGGGTTGAAACAGTTAGAATTGGGAAGGCAGCACTTGGCCCGGACATGTCCTACGAGGCCGATTCTCTCACGGAATGTTCGTTGGCAGCGTCGGCATAGCTGGGAGAGTTCGGGTGTTCGCATTGTAGATCAGGTGCTTTTGAGATTTACGTGCCGCTATTTTGGCTTTGGGAGCGGTGATCCGATCGTCTTCCAGTTTTCGCTGTTCTTTTTCAGTCCGGTCAGTCCCGTGCGAGACCATCCCATGTTAACGAATCAATTTGCAAACGCGTCAAAGAATTCTTTAGCGGAGTGTTTGACTCCCTTGTGGGCGAGCTCCGTAGCGTCATCTCCACGGAAGAATCGTTTTGGTAGTCGCACATCGTTTGCCCTCATAAGGTGGCTGCGGTTGCCTTAACATGGCGTGGATGCTAAGGCTTTGGTCTATTCCGAAATTGCCGTTTCCTGTTGCCTCCGGAGACGACTGGGGTGGGAGTGACTCGCTTGTTTCTTATCGACTGTCCGGGTGTCCGCTACATGCAGGAGCGTTGTAAGGCTGATAGTTTTGTACATCATGAGTTGATCGTTGAGATGAAGACTGTAGCGAATCCATACGGAGTTCTGCAGCCGGCCGAGGTCTGGTTGACTCTGGAGATCCGGTATGCCACATAATCGTCGATTTTACTGTTGCGGGAGAGCTAACTGGGCGAAACAGTCCGCAGTTTTCATTTTGGCGCCGTTGAAGTTGGTCAGCGCGATATTGCATACAGTGTTAGGCTACTGTTGATGCATGGCCACCGTTTTGTCTGCATTGATGTATTGGTGGCCGCGCTGGTGGATGTGGAGTCGGAAGGGCTGGGGATGGGATGGTTGTTGGCGGTGCCGACATCACGATGAATTCCGCTGTTGTGGATACCCATGAGACCGAATGCGGTGAGTGTGTGTGAGGACTCCTGGCACCGGTGCGCTGGTCCCACCGCGATGCATTCGCAAGTGACCGACCGGGCCGAAGCGTGAAGTGAATGTACGATCGCAATGAGTACAGGTTGGGACCAAGCCCACATCATTGGCGATAGTTGACGAGGCGTCGGGAGTGTTTTTGACAATGGCGAGAGCGTAAGATCTGGTAGTCGTAGCCGTCCTTATGGAGGTTGTGGCTGGGATGATAGAGGTGGCGATGATCAACGACAACGAGACATCGGGAGTGTGTTAGGTCTTCATCGTGGACCCCGTGCAGGTTGGAACAGGTAGGATTGGGAAGGCAGCACTGGGTCCGGACATGTCCGACGAGGCCGATCCCCACGCGGAATGTTCGTCGGCAGCGTGGACATAGCTGAGAGAGTTCGGGTGTGTGTATTGTAGATCGGATGCGCATGAGATTTGCGTGCCGTCATTTTGGTTTTGGGAGCGGCGATCCGGTCGTCGTCCAGTTTTCACTGCTTTTTTTTCAGTTCCGTGCGAGACCTTCCCATGTTTACGGATCAATTTGAAAACGCTTCAACTAATTCTTTAGGATGTCCTTGTAGCGGAGTGTTTGACTTCCTTGTCGGCGAGCTCCGTAGCGTCATCTCCACGGAAGAGTCGTTTTGGTAGTCGCACATCGTCTACCCTCATGAGGTGGCAGCGGTTGCCTTAACATGGCGTGGATGCTAAGGCTTCGGTCCGTGTCGAAATGTCCGTTTCCAGGATCCTGCCCTGTTGCCGCAGTTTTGGAATCCTCCGACGACGGCTGGGGTGGGAGTGACTCGCTTGTTTCTTATCGACAGTCCGGGTGTCCGCTACATACAAGAGCGTTGTCAGTTTTGTCCATCTTGAGTTTATCGTTGAGGTGAAGACTGTAGCGAATCCATACGGAGTTCTGCAGCCGGCCGAAGGTCTGGTTGACTCTGGAGATCCGGTATGCCACTTCATCGTCGATTTTAATGTTGCCGGAGAGCGAAGCTGTCCGCGGTTTTCATTTTGGCACCGTTGACGTTGGTCAGCGCGATATTGCATACAGTGTTAGGCGACTCTTGATGCATGGCCACCGTTTTGTCTGTATTAATGACCAGCCCGAGATGGGTGCTTTTAGACTTTTTTTCCTAAATTTGTTTAATCTCAAAAAATCATTCTTATGTATTCGAAACAATCAGATGTTTGGAGTAAACACTTTATAAGTCTAAAAAAGCCGCTTGGCAAAAGAGCACCTTCAGTTGTATAAGGATAAACCAGTGCCACTGCGATGTGATTATTTTTTGATATTCACTCTGAACCCCCTGGAGGTGCAGAGCCGTCTTTTGGACTCCTTTCCCTTTTTTTACTACAAATTAGACACCGGAACAACAGTCCTAAAGGCCATTGATCTCCTGCGGTCCTTTAACGTCTCGGCAGAGAATATAATCCTGGAGACACTGTTTGCGTCGCCTTCTGGTACGTTTGAGCACTTGCCTGTCCCGAACACATTTTGCGTGGTGCACTTGACACTTCTTACTCCTCGTATGTACATCGGCCCGCCCCCTTATGTCGAAACCCGGTGTTGCATGGGAGCCGGTTCGTGTATGGCACGCGTAGACGGGATTTTTAGCCCTGTCAGCCATTTGCACCCAATCCGACTCTTGACATTTCATAAGTTAGGTTATCTGCTGTATCTTAGGGGCCTCTTCCGTTACATTTAGTCTTGCAGCCTCAATTGTGCGGTTTCCTCCTATACGAAGGATACAGTAGGTGGGCTAACTCAGGAAATGCCAACAGAAATTCTGAAATGCGTTTTCGTTTCGAAAAGATCAATTAAGTAGAGTTGTAAGACCAATCATCTTGCAGCGTCATTCTATAATAATTCAGTTACATCAGAATGCCAGCTTTCGAATGAACTTCCTTCCGACTGCATCCAAAAGCCACACTCCGTATAAAATGACTACTTAAGTAGCATGCATTTTTTATTGATTTTCGGTGCCCTTAAAGATTTAATTAAATTTCATGGAAAACATGCATGAAAATATTCATTCTTGCTCATCCAGTAGAAAATTATGTTTTTTTTCAATTTTACACTCGAAGGAAGGATATAATCCGGTTTTAAAAAAGTTTCTAATTGTGAGATTCTTTAATACCGTGAAATGGCTCTTCGTAAAATGTCATGTTTCTGCATTTACCAATGTGGCTTGTTAAGTTAAAAATGTTGCTCAAATCTACTGCTTAATTTTAGAACCCTATAAGGCCCTTTTTTATTATGGTAGAGAAATGCAGGATTTTCCGTGCGCGGAAATCATACGGCTTGTAGTTTGGGAACCCTGAATGCAAGTGTAACGGCAGGTTGGGTTCAAAATTATTAGGGAATTGGAAAAGCTTTATAAAACCAAATCATGCCATTCCTTCGAGTGTAGAATTAAAAGAAGACGTAATTTTTACTGAGCGAGCAAAAGAATGAATGTTTTTATGCATGTTTTCCCTGAAATATAACTAGATCTTTAGGGGCATCCAAAATCACCGAAAAAATGCATTCCACGTAAGTTGTCATTTTTACGGAGCATGGTTTTTGGATGCTGCCGAAAAAAAGTTTGATCGAAAGTCGGCGGCCTGGGGTAACTTAATTATTATAGAATTATGCTGCACGATAAATGGTTTTACAACCATACTCAATTAATCTTTTCTAAACGGAAACGCATTTCGGAAATTTTGTTGAGATTTCATGAGTTAGCTCACTTACTATATTTCATAAGTTTCACCAAAAGGCGGCGCCTTGCTGTCTCTCGAAGAGAAGAGTCAATCGGTTGGGGAAATATTGCCACTAGTCCTTACGAGGGTTTTCAGCAAGGTCGCCGTATTTACAGTTGAATGCCTGTAAACTGGTCGGAATGCGATGCATCAGGTTCTTAGGGTGCCGCTCCGATGACGTAACAGTCGTACTCAACTATGGCTCGACAAACTTGTGCCAGTGGCCGATACGCCCGGCGGGTGTAAGTTGGTGATAATTATTTAGATAGGGTCTTTTACGCGAGCGACCTTCACTCCAGATCAGCCACTGCGCTCAAGTCTGCCTCCGGGTAGTACAAGAGTGAGGTCGACGCTACGTAAGCTCCCGCCCACTGCCGAAATCAGCTTTGCACGCCGGTCTTCACCGTCGCTTCGATCTGGTCAGCATTGCGCTTGTTACTGGCGCCACGCTGTGACTACTGCTCACAGTCTGACTGCTCATTTGTGCAATTGTCACGTTGACATTTGGAGGAGAAAGTGTGGTAGATGCTGCGCAAGTCTACCTTCACTATAAGCAAACTCACGCACAAGCCACCGTGCCTGCTCTCTCTCTCACTCTACTTTGGAGCACACTGTGGACGCCGTCGGGCATGACGGTCGGACTGTCATGTTGATATTCGTATTGTCAAGCCGGGATCCCGACGCCCGATTACCCGGGAGGTTTCCACGCGTCTGCGCAACAGCCTTCTTTCGTAAACACTGCGGCCTTTTGTCCGCCCGATAAACAAAACAGACAAAGTTTCCCGGTGATCTGTGATTATTATCAACAGCATTACAAAGTTGAGAGATCCGGGAAGATTAATTGAAGAAGAAAATAGACTCTCCGGAACAGGTTTATCTAACTGCTGACGTTTCAAAGAGCTGGGTCGGCTCTTCATTGTCAAAGCGAAAAATGCACTTAATCAATGAGAAATTTTATTTAAAGTGGTATCTTGTGTTGGTCGGCCTTATGCTGATCGATTTTTCTCTCCTCGCGCTGCCTCAGTCTCTTGGGAGATGGTGGACGGACGTTTTGCCTGTGTGCTTTGTGAGTCACCACTCCGTCGAGGGGAGCTGAGTGAACCTCTGTCAGGTGGTCGGTCGGGCGGTTCTTGTTCTTCCTCACCGAGTAAACTCAGCGTCAGGCTATCTCCGTGCGGCCTTCTTAAGTCCGGTGTGGTTGTTTGGTCCCGAGCTCTACGATTGTGATGACGTAGGACTTTGTAAGCTGCAGGAATGGCCGAGCGATTGTAACTTGTGAACCTATTTACAGACAATGGTTATCCCAGACATTTCATTGAGAGAAGCAGACGTTGTGCGCCCAGACAACGGCCAAATGAGCAGCAACCCGAAGTCTGGAGGGCCATTCCCTACGTCAAAGAGGTCTCTGAAGCGGTCTCGCGACTGTTACAACCCACCAGAGTAGGCATAGCCCATCGACCATAAGCGACAATTCGACGTCGCCTGATGCAACCTAAGGACCCATTGCCACCCGCTGAAAAGTCAGCAGTCATCTACAAAATAAACTGCAATGAGGCGACTGCAACTATGTGGACGAAACCGGGCGGGAATTGCAAACTCGCCTACAAGAACACAACTCGGCCACTCGGAGGTTAGACCCTAACTTCCAACTAGCAACACACGTTGGAGAAACAGGGCATACTTTTGACCTCCAGAGGGTTACCATCTTAGGCCAAGGCAACGCAAAAGCAGAACGGCTAACTCTTGAGGCGTGGTTCTCCGATGCCCACTCTATCAACAGGCATCTGGACCTTCCTACAGCTTACAAAGTCCTACGTCATCACAATCGTAGAGCTCAGGACCAAACAACCACACCGGACTTAAGAAGGCCGCACGGAGATAGCCCGACGCTGAGTCTACTCGGTGAGGAAGAATAAGAACCGCCAGACCGATCGCCCGCCCGACAGAGGTTCACTCAGCACCCCTCGACGGAGTGGTGACTCACAAAGCACACAGGCAAAACGCCTGTCCACCATCTCCCGAGAGGCTGAGGCAGCGCGAGGAGAGAAAAATCGATCAGCATAAGGTCGACCAACACAAGATACCACTTTAAATTTCTGATTGATTAAGTGCATTTTTCGCTTTGACAATGAAGAGCCGACCCAGTTCTCTGAAACGTCAGCAGTTAAATAAACCTGTTCCGGAGAGTCTATTTTCTTCTTCAAATTCTCAACAGCATACTGCTAGTCTTTTACCAAGGTGTTCGTACCAGGCATCTCGGGCATCAAGGACACAACCTGATCGCTTTTTCAAAGTGGGGTCACTTGCGGCGTTTCTTCTTCTCAATGGACTTCGGTTCAAAGCTAACAGAGAGGGCAGTAAGGGAGGTCATCTCGACTCTTCACTCTAGTCAGTAATTTCTGACTGAAACTTGTCGGTCGGTCACTATGCTCCTACTGAACGCGGGTTAAGATTCCACGCCTTCCGGAGCTGGCATTGAGACGTGACTTGCTGGTGATTGCAAGTATGTCGGGATTGTCTGTTGAGATCTCCATTTTTTGGTTTTCGCCGTTAGACCTCTCGTCTGTATGCGACCACCCAGCCAAAGCGAACGGGTATGCTTCCCCATGGAAGTCGAGCTTGGCCGTCCAAGGTCGCATCCAGATGGGGGAATCGTCTACATGACAACTGTTTTTCTAGGAAGACATCGTTTTGGTCAAAGTATTGTATAAGGCCTGAAAGGGTAGAATTCGCAGATGCACACTTTGGTCGGATCTTACTTCGTAGCCGCACCAGCCGCCTATCAAGATCTGGAAAAGTCAATCTCTAGCCCAACCGTGGCTCACTTGGTTGACAGCGGCCACCAGGTAGACGTCAAGCAAACATTCCAAGTTATCTAGAAAGTGCCAGCGAGACACTCCAAGTTCCTGCATAAGCGAATACTTGAGACGGCAGAGGCATTGGCCATACGGTTAGCCAATCCAAACTTGTGCTCGCATAAAGCGTTTATAGAGGCGCTAAGGCTCCCCCGAACCAGCGAGTGTGTTCACACTTCCTGCCTGATCGCGTTACGACGCAAACTGTCATACACCTTCCCTCTCCCTCTGCCTAACCCCTGACGGGACTTGAATTTGACCCCTGATCTCTGGACGCCCTCATCCCTTTCTCTCATGCTTTTTTGGCTATTCACCTCTTACTAATCTACCCTCCCTTATATAACTGTACAGGCCTGATCGTAAGCGTACGTTTACCGGGCTTGCCTTCTTAAACCTAATAGGCGAAGAGTCCGTGTCCTCCGAGACAGCCCTGTTTTCGACCTAGCCAAGTTGACTGTTAAAATTTGAAATTCCGCCAGGAGGACACACGGACATCTATTACTGCATCCTCCGCTTTTTCGCAGACCTAACCTAGCTATGCTGTGATTCGATGTGATCTCGGCATTCGCCCCATATCCCACTAAACTGGGCGTGCAGTTTAGCGAGGAGTGAGCATTCCTAAAGATCAGGAATCTAGTGAAGCTCGGCATTTATTAAGAGAACACTTTTTACTTGCAGTGCCAGGCCATGAGAGCGGTCAAGGAAACGGTAAGGGATCCTGCAAAATATAACTTTATCGAAAAACCGATTCTATAGGGGATGGGGAAGACCTCTTCAACCACTAGTACGTGCTAAATCTACCGCAACCTGGTCAAAATGTTCAAATATATTTTTTATAAATGGATATTAATTGCAAGGGCTGCAGTGCCGATTAGCACGGGGCGCAAGCATGCGCAACAGGGTCGGATCCCATTTTGTTGACGCACCTCCAGTAGACAAGCCCCAGACGCCTGTCATAAGGGACCGGCGGTAATAGGCGGTTTAACGCTAATCTCCAACACCTAACAGGTTTGACTACGAAATAAGATCTTACTCACACTTTTGTTTGCGACGTTCACCCCATTTTTACCGACGCAACCTCTGCCTTTATTTAAAGAGATGCGGTTACACTCCCACGCTTTATTTACTGACGGAGAGAGACGGGTTTCAGTGAAGAACATCTCGCACACTGTTTTTGTTAAGGTGTAAAACCGTCCATTCTCACGACACATGCCCCCCTGTTGTTCCCAAAGGTCTGCGGAACGTGCTCGATCGGAACCCCGCTCTGACAATAGTCACCTCGGAGATTCACTCGGTCGTCCCGTGGCACTTTGAACATCTCTACTTCGGAACTGTGTGAGCGTCGCCTTGCAGACCCATGACCAGTTGCTGCTGCCGTTGCCTCAAAAAGCCCTCCATTTCCTTTGGCACCTCGCTCTCTCTCCCCCCAACCGCGAGGAGCATCACCAGTTTGGCCCCGGGAATGTAGTTTTTTCTTATCATGCGTTTATTGAAGTCATTCCTTACTACCTTCTGTCTGTTGAACTGGCTGCACCAGTTGCTATCAGCGGGTCCAATCTAAGCTATCACCCGCACGATGCTGCATGCATCGTTGGCGAATGTATTGAATGGTAACCCCGGCCGGTATTGGCCTTGTGGCGGCTCAGGCTTCGAGAACCGCACACAGTCCCGCAAAGCGTCAGAAGTGGAAAGATAGCAAGTGGTGGGAATTACATTATGCATAGATTAGGTGACGGCTGAGAACGGGTGGGAAACCGCGTTTAAATATAAACCACTCATGATTTACTTTATAAGGCACGACTTACTTAAACACGTGTAGTAGACACGTGTTGGGTTCAAAATTTTTCAGGAATTGAAAAAGTTCTCGCAAACCAAATTATACCCTTCTTTCGAGCGTAAAATTAAAAGAAGACGTAATTTTCTACTGAATGAGCAAAAGAATGGACATTTTTATGCATGTTTTCCATGAAATATAATTTAATCCGAGTCTTCTTCACACTGTCTCTCGAAGAGTAGAGTTCATCGATTGGGGAAACACTGCCACTAGTCCTTACGAGGGTTGTCAGTGAGACCGCCATATTTACAGTTGACTGCCTGTTAATTGGTCGGGATGCGATGCATCAGGTTCTTAGGGTACCGCTTCGATGACGTAACAGTCGTACCAAGTGGCCCCAATTATGGCTCGACAAACTTGCGCCAGTAGCCGATACGCCCGGCGGGTGAAAGCTGGTGATAATTATTTAGATAGGGTCTTTGACACGAGCGGCTTTCATACCAGGTCAGCGACTGCGCTCAAGTCTGCCTCCAGGAGATTGTAGTGGGTATTACAAGAGTGAGGTCGACGCAACGCAAGCTTCCGCCCACTGCAATCTAGTTCATGCTGAAATCAGCTTTGCTCGCCGGTCTTCGCCGTCGCTTTGATCTGGTCAGTATTGCGCTTGTTACTGGCGCCACGCTGTGACTACTGCTCACAGTCTGGCTGCTCATTTGTGCAGTCGCCATGTTGACATCTGGAGGAGAAGGTGCGGTAGATGCTGCGCAAGTCTACTTTCACTATAAACAAACTCACGCACAAACCATCGCGCCTGCTCTCATCCTACTTTGGGGCACACTGTGGACGTCGTCGAACATGTCGGTCGAACTGTCATGTTGATATTCTTATTGTCAAGCCGGGATCCTTACGCCCGGATAACTCGGGAGGTTTCCATGCGTCTGCGCAACTGCCTGCTTTCGCAAACACTGCGGCCTTTTGTCTGCGGAGGTTCTTGAGGGGGGGGGGGGCGATAAACAAAACAAAGTTTCCCGGTGATCTGTGATTATTATCAACAGCATACTGCTAGTCTGTTACCAAGGTGTTCGTACCACGCATCTCGGGCATCAAGGACACAACCTGATCGCTTTTTCAAAGTGGGGTCACTTGCGGCGTTTCTGCTTCTCAATGGACTTCGGTTCAAAGCTAACAGAGAGGGCGGTAAGTGAGGTCAGCTCGACTCGTCACTCTAGTCAGTAATTTCTGACTGAAACTTATCGAGTCCTGGCCGATGACGTGTCAGTCGGCCACGGTGCACCTACTGAACGCGGGTTAAGATTCCACGCCTTCCGGAGCTGGCATTGAGACGTGACTTGCTGGTGACTGCAAGTGTGTCAGGATTGTCTGTTGAGATCTCCTTTTTTGGTTTTCGCTGTTAGACCTCTCGTCTGTATGCGACCACCCAGCCAAAGCGAACGGGTATGCTTCCCCACGGAAGTCGAGCTTGGCCGTCGAAAGTCGCATCCAGATAGGGGAATCGTTTACATGACAACTGTTTTCTAGGAAGACATCGTTTTGGTCAAAGTATTGTATAAGGCCTGAAAGGGTAGGATTCGCAGATGCACACTTTGATCGGATCTTATTTCGTAGCCGCACCTGCGGTAGACAACCCCCAGCCGCCTATCAAGATCTGGAAAAGTCAATCTCCAGTCCAACCGTGGCTCACTTGGTTGACAGCGGCCACCAGGTAGACGTCAAGCAAACATTCCAAGTCATCTATAAACTGCCAGCGAGACACTCCAAGTTCCCGCATAAGCGAATACTTGAGACGGCAGAGGCATTGGCCATACGGTTAGTCAATCCAAACTTGTGCTCGCATAAAGCGTTTATGCAGGCGCTAAGGCTCCCCCTGAACCAGCAAGTGCGTTCACACTTCCTGCCTGATCGCGTTACGACGTAAACTGTCATACACCTTCCCTCTCCCTCTGCCTAACCCCTGACGGGACTTGAATTTGACCCCTGATCTCTGGACGCCCTCATCCCTTTCTCTCATGCTTTTTTGGCTATTCACCTCTTACTAATCTACCCTCCCTTATATAACTGTACAGGCCTGATCGTAAGCGTACGTTTGCCGGGCTTGCCTTCTTAAACCTAATAGGCGGTTAGTCCTTGTCCTCCGAGACAGCCCTCTTTTCGCCCTAGCCAAGTTGACTGTTAAAATTTGAAATTCCACCAGGAGGACACAAGGACATCTATTACTGCATCCTCCGCTTTTTCGCAGATCTAACCTAGCTATGCTCTGATTCGATGTGATCTCGGAATTCGCCCCATATCCCACTAAACTGGGCGTGCAGTTTAGCGAAGAGTGAGCATTCCTAAAGATCAGGGATCTAGTGAAGCTCGGCATTTATTAAGAGAACACTTTTTACTTGCAGTGCCAGGCCATGAGAGCGGTCAAGGAAACGGTAAGGGATCCCGCAAAATATAACTTTATCGAAAAACCGATTCTATAGGGGATGGGGAAGACCTCTTCAACCACTAGTACGTGCTAAATCTACCGCAACCTGGTCAAAATGTTCAAATATATTTCTTATAAATGGATATTAATTGCAAGGGCTGCAGTGCCGATTAGCACGGGGAATAAACATGCGTAACAGGGTCGGATCCCATTTTGTTGACGCACCTCCAGTAGACAAGCCCCAGACGCCTGTCATAAGGGACCGGCGGTAATAGGCGGTTTAACGCTAATCTCCAACACCTAACAGGTTTGACTACGAAATAAGATCTTACTCACACTTTTGGTTGCGACGTTCACCCCATTTTTACCGACGCAACCTCTGCCTTTATTTAAAGAGATGCGGTTACACTTCCACGCTTTATTTACTGACGGAGAGAGGGGACTTCAGTGAAGAACATCCCGTGCACTGTTTTTGTTAAGGTGTAAAACGTTCCATTCTCACGACGCATGTCCCCCTGTTGTTCCCAAAGGTCTGCGGAACGTGCTCGACCGGAATCCCGCTCTGACAATAGTCACCTCGGAGATTCACTCAGTCGTCCCGTGGCACTTTGAACATCTCTACTTCGGGACTGTGTGAGCACCGCCTTGCAGACCCATGACCAGTTGCTGCTGCCGTTGCCTCAAAAAGCACTTCATTTCCTCTGGCACCGCGCTCCCTCTCCCCCGAACCGCGAGGGGTATCACCAGTTTGACCTCGGGAATGTAGTTTTTTCTTATCATGCGTTTATTGAAGTCATTCCTTACTACCTTCTGTCTGTTGAACTGGCTGCACCAGTTGCTATCAGCGGGTCCAATCTAAGCTATCACCCGCGCTGCCTAGTAAGGACGTGGAAACTTGCATGCATCGTTTGTCTAGGTGAATGTATTGAATGGTAACCCCGGCCGGTATTGGCCTTATGGCGGCTTAGGCTTCGGTAACCGCACACAGTCCCGCAAAGCATCAGAAGTGGAAGGATAGCAAGCGGTGGGAATTACATTATGCATAAATTAGGTGAAGGCCGAGAACAGGTGGGAAACCGCGTTTAAGTATGAACCATTCAGGATTTACTTAAACACGTGTAGTAGACACCCTCTGTACGCCGTAATTTCTGGGGGCCTTCACTAGATCCTTTATTAGATCTGATCCACTTAGTTTCTTAAAGATAGTATTTTACCGACACAAGTCTTCGCCGTAGATCGGCGATTTAAACTCCCAGCATCCTTGAATTACCCATTCTTTCATAAGCTGTACTGCGGACATTCGTGCGAGTTCGGAGAATAATTAGTCAGTTTTGGGGGTTCTGTCGACGTTGAGGACTCGATCCACCGGGGTTGGCATTTCGACGTAGTAACTTCTGTGACCTTTGCCACGACTGCTGTTGCTATTTTCCAAAGTTTGCGAAAGATTCGCTGTTGTGGCACCTCGCCCGATCTTCCTGTGCAGTCCAGCACCGCTGGGTAGATTTAAGAGTTACCTCAATGATGATCGGTAGCCACTACTTCCTTAACGCGGGTTGCAAAGCAAGAGAGTGTCTGTGCTATATTGGGCTCTCGTAGTTGTGCGGCACCAAGGTTTCTTGCATGTGTCAATTTGGGTGCGAATCAATTTACTTTCGGGCGTGTGTGAAGGAGAATATGGTCTGGCCGGTAGGTTCCGCCAGCTTCGACGCCACGTATCGATCTGCCAAAAAAGTGCACCTAAGAAACCCTGGAATGACCAGAGTGGAGTCAGTCTGATTAGCCATCATTTGGTTTGGGGAGTACGTGTTTATAATTGCCAGCCAGTTCTAGTCAACAAACTCCAATATTCATTCTCCCTCGCCGCATCGAAGCGGTCAATTGGGCGGCTGCGCCGGGTAATATTCGTGCAAAGCAATGCACTTGACCAAAATCGCAATACCCAACCTTGTAACAAGGACGACCCACTGACTTCAAACATATGGCCCCGCGACCGCTGACCCGATATTCCAGAGCTAGATCTCTGATCAGGTGGTGCAGCCGCGCACGTTGCAGAATACTGATGCATTCATATTGACCCAACTGTGAAAAACTCGGTGGGATTCGAAGCCATGCAGTAAGGGGAAGGCTTTAGTACAGCCAACGCTCTAACCACCTGAGCTACGAGACCCCGCCGGACGACGCGAGTTTAATCGCATTTGGGTCAAGTTACCCGCCCAACCTACTAAGAAAATCCTGCTTGGGTAGTCAACTTACTGTATCAGATTTGGTGGATTCCAGACGTTGCAGTAGGTTGGGCGGGTAACTTGACCCAAATTTGATTAAACTCGCGTCGTCCGGCGGGGCCTCGTAGCTCAGGTGGTTAGAGCGTTGGCTGCGCTAAAGCCTTCCCCTTACTGCGTGGGTTCGAATCCCACCGAGGCGCCGAGTTTTTCACAGCTGGGTCAGTATGAATTATTCAAAATCTGCCAAAACAGCTATGAATATTGATGCGTAATGTCAGGATGAGCACAACTCATAAGTCACATGTCCGCGTTCGTGCACCCTGGAGGCTTACCCTAAATCTCGCTCGAGAGACCGCGTGTCAAACACTTACATATCGCATAATTACGACAGTCACGCGTATGCTAGTTTCCCAAAAATGAAATTGGGCCTTGCAATGCAAAAGCGAGTGCTCATAGATGAATCCTCTAACCAGTGGGTTACCTGAAAGTGCAGTTAGGCCCACCTGCCGGCGGTGCAATAACTGGATAGGCTCAGTAGTTGCGTAATATTTTGCACAGATGGCCTGAACCAGATCACAGAATAGAGACTCCTTCCGCCTACCGGGTGGACTCTGACGGCGGTCAGCGAAGGGAGGCGACGGAGTATGGGTCACGCCAGCGGATGTCGCCGAGCAAGTACCGAACTTTTGGCTTACTCTACACCATACAACTGGGAAGTTAGTGGCGATCTTGTCTTCAAAAGTCATGTCATTGCTGAAGGCCGGCGGATACTGTCCTGCTCGTGTCCGCATTACTGTTGATGAATCTGTCGCGGCAATGAGTGGGTGGTCTGTGCGCTAGCGTCATCAGGTCAGATCCCAAGTTGGAAGGAGAGAGACAGAAGGACCCCAGAATGGGGGTTTAATGCATACAGAACCCGGAGTTGTCCTCTCGGGCGGCAGCGGCCACTGGCGAAACCGGGGCTGGTGTTGACTGCGTTCAGTCATGCCTGAAAGTCCTTGAGATAGTGGTGACAGCCGCTTTTGTAGGCTCGTGAGTCAAGCTCAAATGGTGTCCAGTCAGCGTGTGTTGCATTTGCCGAGGGGTGGTGTCCCAGTGGCTTAGGGTGCGGTTGCAGGGGGGAGGTGCGTTCAAGTGGCCCCATTGGCAGCTGCGGCTGTGCGGACGCGGGCATGCCCGAGCTGTTGGTCGTGTGCTTATGTAGGACGTGTTTATGTAGGCCTCCGCGAAAGTGCTAGTACGTTAATAGGCGCGTATCGATCCGATGGGTATCTGGGAACTACAACAACCTGTCACGTGGAGAGGCGACTAATTGTCCAAACACTGACGCAACTAGCAGAGATAACGTTTCGGGTTTACCCAGGCATTCACCAGGCGGCAGTATCACGCACAGATACCTGCGACTGTACACTAAGTCCCATCGTCGCCTTGGTACCACAGCCTTTAGGCTGTCAGAGTGGCTCTACCAGTGACTTCGTTTCCTTACCAAGATTTCGGAGTAGACAGCGAAGTCGGCTGACGAGATGGTGGTGCACTTTGACGTGATCTCGTTATTCAACTCGCACTGGGTATCGAGGTTATCGATGGCTGTCTCCGAGAGAATTATGATGTGGCTGACTAGCATCTCAAACAAGTGCATATAATCAAGTCTAAAGCCTTTTTCACATTCAACGGCCGTCTACGGGCAAAAGGATGGGGTGCCGATACGTCGACAACACGTTCGTCATACTCAAGAGGAGCGACGTGCAGGCTTCCGAGGCACTATTGAATTTAATCTTTCCCGGCATTCAGTTTACCATAGAGGGAGAGGTCAATAGTCAATTGCCCTCCTTAACCTACAAGTTACAAATATGACAGACGAGAGGATAAGTGCAAAGGTCTACTGCAAGGCGACTAGCACTAGGTGAATCCTCCACTTCCGAAGCAATCACCCTGTTGGTCGCAAACGCAGAAACCTCTTCTAATGCGTTTAATACACTGTAGCGACGACAATTGGAAGGAGGAGAGTATAAAGTACTTGAAAACTCTAGTTAAGGCCAGCGGCTGCCCGAAGTCCTTCATACGCATGCTCCAGAAAGCCTCATTTTGAGCGGTCGAACGGGGAGAAGCCGGAATTCTGGCTCGAGATCCCCTATGTGAAGAACATTTCAGATGCGGCGGCAAGAATCCTAAGACCTTATGGGATTGACGCGGCTCATGAACCAGAATGCACAACCAAACATTAAATTACAAGGCCCGCTACCAGTACCACTAATCAGCAGTGGTCGGCAGCATACCAAGCCAAATTTTGATGCGGGGTTTTTTGGTGAAACGGGCAAACGCCTTAGCACAAGACTGCACGAACACTAACTAGCAATCAATCACTGGCATATGGCTACACATGCAGCAGCCGAACCACAGTTTCGCCCTTGAGAAGACAAATGCGGTGGACCGCGCCAATAAGGGGATAGACAGACTGGTGCACGAAAGTTGGTACTCGACAAGCTCTCTCTTAGACCTGCAACCCGCCTACCAGGCGCTACGCACAAAAGTAGGATAGTTTCGGACGGGACTAATAGGGCAAGCGAGCACTCGGAGCCGACGCTCAGGGAAAGGAGGGGGAGGGCGATCGGGGATCACGTGACCAACGCCGGACACCGACGCGTCAACGAGGCTAAAAGCAAATTGCACGGGCACCAACTACTAACCAGTCAGCTGACTGATGTGAGGGAGGCCAAAAGGCCCGCAAGCTGTCAGCCTTAGAGAGATCAAGGCAAGTCAGCCAAAAACGGGCTGGTGAGAATTCGCGCGGCGCGTACGGCTGTAGCACGAGGCGGGTGGCGAGGCCAATGAATCAACACCGGCAGGAACAGCAACCACACCACTAAGACGATAGAAACGACGAAGTCTCCGGAACGTCAGGAAACATACTGCGCGTATGACAAATAGAGGGTTTTGTAGAGAGTCGGCAATATTCAAAAAACCGGACTCCGAACAGAAGATCCTCATCAGGCTGTTTTTACCAGAGGTATACTGGGCTTTTATAGTACTGGAATGGTCGTACAATGGTTTGATTAGTCACAGGCGCTGGTCTGCGATATTACCGGCTGATGACCGCACGAATACGCCTTAACTGTCAGTTTTGACAGTCGTCCTCTTTGTCAGCCATACTTAAAAATGAATGATTACTCAGAAGTAAAGGTAACCGCCCAGTTCATGCAGCATGTGGAATCAGAAAACCGAGGCGTTCCTAAAAAGAATATAGGGATTTCCCAAGGCTGAAAAGCCAAAATGGGGACAAGTTCGCTGGATGGAAGAGAACAAAGGGTAGGTAATACTCTTTGTTGGAGCGCGAAGTGATCAAAGCGCCGGATAATCTTTCTCTGCGTCTTAGGATACCAAACAACTGTACTTTCGAATTCGTCACACGATACCAGTAAAACTGATAAGAGAAACATCTTCACGGGTCTTCTGCCATACGCTTGCGTAATTGAAGGTTATGGTGGCTGGAAAAAGGGTGACGAAGCGGGCAAGGGTTCTGAAAATTTTATTTCGTTATAAACGGACAAGTCTTAGTCAATGTGATAAGTCCGACAAACACCCATGCGTGGCTTAATGACAAGTCAATTGTTTTGACCACGGAATAGTAGGTCTCATGGTCACATTACCAACTCAAGATTCTTAAAGTCCGTAATTACACTCGTAGGGCAGTTAATCCGCGTCAGCAGCAAGGGGAAAGGACAATTTCTCCATCAGGTTATCAACTTGTTCTTGAAGCCTTGGAAGAACTTCGGGGTCAATGAAGATATGGCACTCATCCAGATCATTGTAAAGAAACTGAGTTCCAAGAATCAGATTTTCTGACAAGTGGATTAGAAACTGTTTCATAGCCGGATCACTTTTGAGGAAGAAAGTAAAAGACGTAATCAATTACCATTTTATCAATATACCCTTATGAACGTTAACCATTTGAACGACGAGAACTAATATAACAAGGGACGGACGGCCTGTCCTAAGCGCGGGGCAGATCTTGTAGGGTCGGCGGTACCCACGCACTCCCGATTGGTCATCAATACCTGTTCGGTTATTGGTTAGATTTTTCGGAGTTATCAGAATACTTGTGGTTCATTTTAATGCTGTTGGCGGTTGCAATTTCAAATCGTATAATTCACACATGTTTTCTAATCTTTTAACGTTGGGGTCATTGTAAGGGTTAGGGACAGGGGTGGAGTTAGAATTATGATTTGAGTTATGAATAAAGGCCTTATAACTGCCGCTTGTCCTGTTTCTGCCACTACCTCTGACGATAGACTCCTGTACGAGTCTGAAAGCTCAGGATAACCAACGAAGTGCTCCGGTGCTCGACTCTTCTTCTTCTTCTTCATCACGATTTGAGTTATGATACGGCAAGTGTAACGTTTAGTGTCGGTTGGGGTGAGGTTACTGATAAATTTTAGTGTTAGGATTCGTGGTACAGTTTGTTTAATGACTGGAGTTAACATTAAAACCAGGAAACAATGAGGCGAATGATCACTCATTATGGAGACAAGGACTTGTTTAACGGGGACTATCATAATTAGTGAGTTTTAACTTCTGTCATTATACGAGTTATTTCCTCATTTTCAAGCAGGCTTTTTTATCTCTTTATTTCTACTGTTTGTTAGATTTCCCTCTGTTTTCGTTTCCTAACACTGCTCCCGTCATCGTCTTTGACATTGCGGCTGCGTATCTGCCTTGTTCCGTCCCTTGGCTAGCTGTGATATTCTGTATGGCCTATCCCATCCGGTTTTCCTCTCAACTTTTAGCTCAGCAACATTCTGCTTGCAAATATCACTACCTTTACCAATTCCCCCTGATCCTCTCAATATTTGTCAAGCTGTCCGTCCTTTTATTCGTCTCTTCCTACTGGTACCTTATTTAGATTATTTCTCACTGTCTCTTCCACGAGCGGTCTGTAAGAGCGCAAGCAGTGTGAATTCTATACTTTCTTAGCATTGGACAGAGCGATGAAAATAGGGGGATAATATGCCGATGTACATGGGAATTGTCAGATTTGTTAGAAAATTTCCAGATATGAAGAACCAAATATAAACTTGGACATATCTTAGACGTTCGGAAATAGTGAAAAATCACCGTCACGAACTCGCCTGGAACACACAAACATAAGCGAAAAGATATAAGCAAGTGTCCCTCACCAGCTTCGGACAGCAATAGGGCGATTAAGCATAACTTATAAATCATCAGATTTTGCCAAATTTACTGTAAATTGCGATATTCCGTTATCAGTTCACATCCTGCTAAACGGACAAAAAAGCCTGACAACCTTTACAGATTCCACCCACGAGAACAATTATACGGGATATTTATGTTCTTTTATAAATTCAGAAGAATGCGGGAGGAGGTACATAATTTGAATTGGGAAATGCCTACTGATGTTTTGCTCTCCTCCTGTTTGGATTCATTTAAGTGTATACTGGACGCGTATCAGGCTTCCCATTTACCAGCCACACATGCACTCACATAACCTACTACCCAACATACATACATCAACGCCACATACAATGAGTGAGGAGCCGATCATGTTTACCCTTTTTCGACTAGCAGAGAGCTGCTTGCTTTTCGCATGCGATTATGTGCACAACCGTCCTCTCAACTTTCCACTTATCGGTGCTTTCTCTCAGAAAATTTGCAGACAAAAGGGACTTCAATGGCGTTTGCCCATCTTTCCCTTAATAAAACTGAACTGAACTGAACACAAGTTGCAGCTATACACTGGACAACCACATTGCGAGAAGGCTTAACCAATTCCGGAACATGTTTATTTCACTGGGTAAAAAATGATTTGTCTAAATTGTTCAGTCGGAAGAACGAAAACTAGGGACGGTCCGCCGTGAATAATCTGAGAGCCTCAAATCGCGTTTATAGGAAGAAAAAGACGTCGAAGCGCCCTCCACTAACGAGGAACACTAAACGTTTTAAGGAATACAAACCACAGCGCGATTTAAGTAGTTGCGAGACCAATAGAATCCAAATGAGCCACAAGCTAAGATACTGCAGAGCTATTTGCACCATTTTACGATAATTTACGATCGCATGGATGAGGACGAAAGAAACCGTGACTTGATTCCGATGCTGTGGTCTCAAAACATAGTAATGGAGACGGACGACCGAACGAAAACATCAGTCCTCTCTAACTTCCTATTGTCTGTCTTCACTCATGATACGAATTCTCCTTCTCCACCCTATCCTGAAGTGAAACCGAATTCTGCATCGTTTGCACTAGAAGATGATCTCCGCTCCCTGCTTATATCAGTAAGGTTAGAATCCCTCCACATGAAGTCTGTCCATTCACATGGCCTATACTCGAGTTACCGTACTCGCCATGGGAAAACTGACCGACGTATCGTGCGAGCCCATGTCGATAATACCTCAAACGTCCATGGAAGAAGCCGAACTTCCGGAAGGATGGGCGGCTGCTTTTATCTCCCCTATTTACAAAGGAGGGTCCAGGCTGTAGCCTGAAACGTGCCGTCCCGTTTGTTTGACCTCCGTCTTATGAAAAGTCATGAAAAGACTTATTAATGAGCATTTAAGGACGCAGCTGGGGCAGAGGAACCAAACATACGCTGTCTAGAGCGGATTTTGCCGTGGGTATTCATATGTTACAGGTAGTCTTTATTTGTACAAAAAATGATAAAAGCCCCAGACCAGGGCAGCCCTGGAATGTCATCGGGATGTTTCAAAAAGGGGTTTGGTGGCGTGCCCATCGGCAATTCCTTTAAAAATTTATGCAGTGCGGCGTCTGGGAGAATATTTCCAGGAAGGTTAAAGGTTTTCTGTAGTGAGGGCTGAAAAGAGTGATTGTGGGCACCGTCGCACCCGAATGGGTACAAGTAGAAAGCGGCATTGCAAGGATATAGTCTTAGATCCGCTCCTCTTTCTCGTCTAAATAGTCGACTTTAGTGAAAATTGTGGCTGAGATGCCGTCACCTTTGCTGATTATATAAGATTTGATAAATAATAAGATGTGCTATCGGAGCGCAAATCTGTAATAAAACGCTGATAATCTCACGGAGTGGTCCACCAAGTGGCTTCTAACGTTAAATGTATGCAAATGTGTAGTCATACGATCAGAAACTGGCCGAAGGCGTTTCCCAAATCACCAGCGCTAAATAGATGGGACTCCAGAAACAGAAGTGGGTACGTACAAAGACGCAGATATCTAAGGAACTTCGAACTCGCTGCATTCCAAATTCTGCAAAAGAGTCTTCCGAAGGGCAATGGGCATAATGTACTGGACCGGACATGCTTACACAGTTTTTCCTCGCAAACCCTTTGCATGGATCTTTGGCACGTTTGCTAGACTGCATTCGGAATATGAAATGTCAGCATGGATGCCCTGGATGAAGAAAGACATTGACCCAATCGAGAAAGTGAAAAGGGCGGCGACACAAACGGAGGAAAGTGTTGGGACTGTCATATCGTGAAAGACTGGTGAAGCTGGATTTGTTTCTCTTATCATATAGGCAAACTAAATGAAACCTACTGTGAACATTCAGCATTATTCGAGCATATAATTGTTCGCTCAAATCTGAAAATTGCTGCGAGTTTACAAAGATGAGTCACCTGAGCAGATATCCGTACAAGGTCAAGTCCGAATGCACACGGACTTCTTTCAGCCAGCGGACATTTCAATTGTAGAACTCAATTTTACGTTCAAAACAGTGACATTTGATAACGTGATCGTGATGACAAGGCAGTTCGCTTATTAGATTTTTTATAGCCGATGACTCTTACTGCGGAGTGCCGTGAAATTCGTTTCTCGATTTCATTTCATATGTGACGTGCCACAACGCGTTCGATGTAAGATTATTTCGTTAATTTGCCAAATGGTCATATTTTTCGGACGGCTGTTAATAATCGCATTTGTAATCTCAACTACACACCAATACAATCATTAAGGGCTCCACACCTAACACTCAAATACATACGCATAAACAAATGGTTGAAGGCAGTTAATCGTCGTTGCAATATCATCTCTGTCTTCTGTGGAGACAATACTGACCACCACGAACTAACCCACTTATGCATATAAACAGTGCGGGTAATCGAGTATTCTGAACATGAATGTGAGACATGTTTGCCTGACGATGAGGAGTCCGAAAAACACCTACAGAAATTTTAAGTGACCAAAGTACTGATGAATGCCGTTCTAAAAACGACCTCCACGGGAACTAGGACCTGACAGAGGGCCCCCACCGGGTTGGCCTTAGGGAAGATACAGAATAGGACATTTATAAATTTTGAGAGAAGAGGGATGAGTTTGTGGTCAGGGGTAGTAGCGCTGCATAAAAAATCGATAGTCGCTGATGGAGCAGCAATCACTGCTGATGACCTTGGGAGTCATGCCTTTGCGCGAAGTCTAAGGTCTCTTTGACTGACGGACAATGTCCATCTTTAGCGTGCATTTTAATCTGGCCTTGTGAGAGCTTGGAACAAGGGCATGAGACGTAAAGCCATGAATAACTGGAGGTTCGGTTGTGTAAATGCGCTAGGTCATTTCGTGCGCTGGACTGATCGTTGAACTTGAAATGGTTGGGGCCGGAGTATTTGGCGAGTGACTGCTGTAATAAACTAGTCCGTTCAGAGTCTCCGATGGCGCGATGTCGGAACATCTAGAAGGACTGAACATCTCTGAGGATAGTTGTCAGGTTTTAAGTTTGGGACTACTAGAAGTTCGAAAAAGGCCATGGAAGTTACATCGTTAACGGCTCAAGAGACCGAATTGGCGACGGAAACCCAAGGGAAGTGACTTTTATATGGTCACTATGAGTTTTAGCTTTAATCCCCGGATACGTAAACACACGCTTACGAGTAATTTATAAACACGAACTTTCCACAGTCAGAATTCTCATGTCGTCTTTGTCTGCAGACGAGAGTTGAAATCAAGAAACCGAGGTCCCTTAGAC